CAAATTGAGTGAGAACCATTTGATGGGTTAAGGTGGGAACCTCATTTCGAGAATGCATAAGATAAACCCATGAGAAATGGGAATAATCACCAACAAACAAAAAAGAAGGATTTACATCAGTATGCACAATTTCAAAAGGAGTATTGCTACTTTTATTACTCAAAAAATAGAAGGATTTACAATGTTTTGCAAGTTCACAACTCTCACTCTTCAAAAAAGACACCTGAACTGACTTAAACAAAGCAGGAAACAAGTTTTTTAAAGACCCAAAAGACAAATGACCTAAACAATTATGCCAAAGCATAATCTGACTCATAGACTTGAGAAACAAAAGACTTCGCAACTCCTTTATCACTTTCAGGGTGGTGCTCGAACAGGTAGATTCTATTCATCTCATGGCCAGTCCCAATCACCTTCCTTGTCACCAAATCCTGGAAAATGCAATGGTCAGGAAAGAAGGTTATTGAGCAATTTTGGCTTTTTGTAAGGCTACTAACTGAAAGTAGATTAGTGCTAAGCTTAGGTACATGTAAAGTTGAGGACAAAGTAATGGTGCCTGAAGACAAGTTGTACGCAGTAAATAATGAAGACAAGCTTGTAATGTGATCTGATGTACTAGAGTCAATAATCCAAGTAGGGTTAGTATTACCTGGAGCAGAGGCATGAAAAGCAATGGCTCTTGTACCCGAGTGAGCAAATGATGATGTGGAGGAAGGAGGTACAGTAGTAGTAGAGACAGACTGAGATGATTCTGCAAGCCCAACTTCATTCTCCAACTGAGTCAATGCTGCCCTGAATGCAGCTTCCAAAGAAGTGGATCGAGGTCCCTGAAGGGAAGAACCATCTGATGTAACAGCTGCATTTGCATTTCCTTTCTTATTCCTGAGTTTTTCTGGTACAAGATTTGGGTGAAGCTTCCAACAGGTGTCTTTTGTGTGCCTAGGTTTCTTGCAATACAAAACACACATTTCTTTCCTTCATTCTTCATCTCTTTCTCCCGCTCTCCACTATACTTGTGTCTTGCAACTGCTAATGCCACTTCCACCTGAGAATTTTGTAGCATAACCTTCCTCCTACTCTCTTCACTATGTACTAGGGAGTAGGCTTGAGACAAGGTAACATTTTCCCTAGTAAGAACTTGTTGTCTAAGAATGTCAAAATCAGAATTCAGACCCGCAAGAAATTCAAAGGCTCTATTTCTTTCAATCAACTTGTTAAAGATTGCTACATCTTTATTACCCTCCCACTCAAATGTTTCAAGATGATCTATCTCGTGCCATAAGGATTTCAGAGTAGAGTAATAAACTGATATGGGTTTCTCCCCCTGCTACAAATTGTTAACTTCAATTTTCAACTCATAAGCCCTAGCCACATCAAGTGGCTTGAGAATAAGTCTCTTTCATATTGTCCCAAATATCCTTGGCTGTCTTTGCCCAAAGAAAATTTCTGCTAATATGGAGCTGCATCGAATTGCACAACCATGTCATCACAAGATAATTTTCTTGAACCCATTTGGCATAGGAAGCGCCATCCTTGGCTGGTTCCTTAGTGTCTCCAGTCACATAGCCTAACTTTCCCCTTCCTCCAATTGCCATCATGGCAGATTGAGCCCACTCCAAATAGTTAGAACCATCAAACTTGATTGTGGTAACCTGAAAAGGGTTGTTATCAATCATACTAACAGCCCTTTCAACACCCTCTCCAGCAGGTTTTTGTTCACCCCCAAAGAACTCCATGCTGAATCCAACATAAAGAAAAACAAAACCACACTCGGCTCCCCTATTGAAACAAAAGGATGATAGAACAGAGGAGAAACAACTATTCGGTCCAGAAAATTTCAGAAAAAAATGGCCGCACCTCAGAGGTTTCAGAAAAGAACAACTTTCAGTGATAATCTTTTGGAGAGTTCAGAAAAACTACCCAGAAATTTCTGGGCATCACCTACAATCTGAGATTTAAACCCTAAATCTCACCTCAAAAATTTTTCTCTGATTCTTCCTGACTGTTGGGCAAACTCCAAGAATAGAAACGTCCTGGGCAAGGCTTCGAACTCCACCAATCTCCAAGAATCAGGCCACAAACAGAACTAGAATTCTAGGCCTATTAAACTCTAATGTAGCCGGCTGGGAAGAGCCTACATGAGGACCACAAGCAGACCTAAACCTGCTTTGATACCAACTTGAAGTTACTGCAGTTAGCAGAACTTCTGGGTACAAAAGAAAACAGAAAACAATAGGAAGAAGAAGAGAGAAGAAGAGAAGAGAAAGAGGAGAAAGAAGAGAAAGGAGAGTAGAGGAAGAGAAAGAGACTGATGGGCGAAAATTACTTACTGCCACCCAAGGCAGTATTATTTATATGTTTAACATAACATTAGGTAAAAGGACAAAACTGCCCTGCTACCTACAACAGTACAAGTAAGCAAGCAGCATAAAGACAAAAAAGAAAATAAAAGAATGAACTTATGGGACCACATATAAAGAACATCATGTCTGGTTCACTGTATCACTACACATAATATTCCACAAGACTTTGATTACCCTGTTGCAGATTAAAATAATCTTGATACAGTTGGTAAACCCTAGTAATTGCCTAATTGTAAAAAAGGACACCTATTTCTAATTGTAAAAAAGGACACCACAAGAAACTTTCTAAGTTCTAATCTAAGTAAAAAAGGACACCTAATTCTAATTGTAATTGCCTAATTGGTTGCCTATTTGGTGTAAAAGACTATAGAAACTAGGATAGAGACAACTTAGTTAAATAGGAACTAGAAGACTAGGTTAGGTTGTAATTAGGAATTAGGATAGAGGCAACTTAGTTAAGTAGGAACTAAGTCGGTTCGATTCGGGTCTGTTTCGGTTTTCTTGTGTGAAAACCGAAACCGACCCGAACCATCGGTCAATGAATTTGTACAACACGAAACCGACCGGTGCTTATGAAAACCCGGCCAACTCGGGTTGGGTCAGTCCGGGTTGGTCGGTTTGGTCGGGTTGGGCCTTCTTATGAACAGCCCTAACATTGATCTTGGGTTCCATACTATTCCATAACCATGTCATAATCTGTGCATCTTTTTGCTCCAACTCATCGTACCCCTGAGAGTCATATGAGGGTTTATCTTCCTTCACACGCGTCACTTTCCACTTAGCTTTCATAAAAACTTCAACAGATTTAGCCCAAGGCACATAATTCTCACCATTTAGTTTGATAGATGTCATCTGCACATTCAGATAATTAGAGGGAACCATTACACAAGACTTGCCTTCACTGTTGTTTCCCGTGGCTGCCAAAAAAAAACTATCACTAGTCTGTCACTCCACTTCACTAAAGAGTCACAACACTACACCCCAACAGCTTATTATTGTTAGAGTACCTACTGTCACAAGTTTCAGCAACAACACCACTGCTGTCTTCCACTTTCAGCACCATAAACCACCAAAAATACATCTCACATGCATAGTATTAGGTTCTGCAACACATCGAAATCTATTCCTCCCTATAACACTCATGCAACCTACCTATTTGAACCCCCCACAAATCAGACTTGTGCTGTCATTCAACCACACCACTGAAACCAGCCCTCTTCGAACCACACAAAACAGCCACAACACCACCCATTGGAGGCATGGAAACCTCCATAACAAAGAAACAATCACTCTTTTTTAGCCTCTCTGTGAATCTCCTATCGGTTAGTGAGAAACCTGCAAAACCCTAGGAGGATAGGCATTGAAAAGGAGAAAGATGGGTTGGTCTGAACTGGATTATATTGGCTCTGATACCATGATAAAGTTCAGACTAGAGATATTCTTAGGTTCAAAATAATAAATAGAAATAAATACTGGAGAAAGATTAGGAGAAGAAGAGAAGAGAAGGAGAGAACACAACCTGGTTCGAACTAGCGTAATCTCTCCCTAGTCGGCCAGTTCTATTTATAGCTTTCTAAAACATTGCACAAAGTATATTGTGCCCTCACTTAAGTGTGGGACACATCACTTAACTTATGATCTACTTGTAACTACAGCAGCATATAAAACAATGTAAATTGACTATACTACCCCTCTGATATTCATTATTTCCACACGATGTTTCCAACATTTCTGACATGCTTCGTATATTTGGACAGCTGATGTTTACACCAACACTGATATTTTAAACCTTGATTGTACTTTGAGTTCAATATCCCCGCCTGATAATTTGCTGATCTCTTTTTTTTTATGAATAAAATAATTTGCTGATCTATTAGCCAATGTTTTAAAATGCGGAAGCGTGACGCAAGGTTTAGAACACAAGAGGTGTAAGCTTCCCAAACAAAATGAAGCTTATGCCTCCTTAAGAGTACGGGGGATGAGGAGGAAGGAGGAGGAAGAAGAGGCAGAAGAATCTCATTTTCTTTATATTTAATAAAAAACTTTTATATTAAGAAGAATGAAGATGCATAACACTAGTTAAAAGGGGATATTTTCTTTCTATTTCTCTTTTTTTTCTTCTCTTTCTTTCTTTTTCTTTCCCTTCCCTTTCTTTTCCTTTCCTTTCCTTTCCTTTTTTTCCATTTTTTCTTTCTTTTCTATTTTCTTCTGTCTTTTTACATGAGGTGTGCATGAGGCACAAGAGGTGTAAACCTCTAGCATGCCTCATTAAAAAAGCGTATGAGGCATCGCTTCTTGCACCTGAGGCGTACGCCTCAGAGGTGTCGGCACATTTGGCATACGCCTCAGGGTGTTTTGGGGGCACATTGCCTGGAGTCTTTGATATTTACTATATTTCGATTATAAAGTTAATACCACTTCGGCAAACCATAGACTTTTGTTAATGAACTACATAAAGCTATTTGTAAATTGGAGGAAATTACTATTTTTTACTAGTATAAGACATACATGCATAAATACATATATAAGAATATAGAAGATGTATAACAAAAGAAAACTAATAGGGCAAAACAAATGGTTTTGGCTTTCTGAGTATGAATCTAGGCATATAAGATAACTGGGATAAGAAAAGCATACATTTTGCTGAGAAAGCAATCCATCATCTCCTTGTTCCTTCAAAAGGCGGTTTTGCTTCAGTGTTTCATTCATTGCACGCACAGCCCTGGACAAGTTCATATAGCAGATAACAAGCACAATATGCATTAAATTACAAGGAAAAATTATAGTGAATCCTAAACACAACAGCATAAGAATATGGGTTCAAGTCTGAGAGTAACCATTTGTGCAAGGAAAAATGCTGAAGAGGTTAGGTCCATATCCGGCAAGACCACAGATAGAGGGGAGCGATGTAATGGTTCTCAGGACATGACCACAAAGTTAAGACATGCTAGTAAAGTGAATCATGTTTACGTAAGTATCCTGTTTGCCTTTACATTGATGTAGACAGCCATAACCTTTAATTGTGAAGGTGGAGTATACTAAAACTAAGCCAATTTTATGTGGTGGATTCATAGGTTTCAAGGCACCAAGGTGAGGGATGGATTTTTTATAAGTAAAAGACATATATCCGAGGGTAGTTCCCTAGGTTCCATAACCATATATCCTTAATAATTATCCATAATTTTCATAAGAAAAGTCTAAACTTCATGCTATAAAAGTATAGAAAATCAACATATTCCAACATATTCATGAGAAGAAAAATAAGAAAAAAAAAAGAAAATTGAAAAAATATAGGGGCTGAAACCCTACTTTTGTTAAAGGAAAAGAAGAAAAAGTAGAAGAAGAAGAAGAAGTGGAAGAAGAATATGTGTTGATTAGATAACATTTTAAGTTCTTCCTTATTGGTTTAGGTTTTGAAGTCTTTAAGGGTTCAATACAGCATTTAGCAATGTTTGTCTTGATTAAACCCTAACAAGTAAGAAAATAATTAAAAGAAATTAGTATATAAACACACAATGAATATTTTAGTTTAATAGTGTCTATTTTATAATTATAACCTCAAAAAATTAAGAACATAAAAGTATTTTATAACACAGTACAAAACTGCTTGGCGATTAGGCAAAGTGAGCCTCCAAGGGTGCTTGTCGGCAAGGCGCGCACCTTAGCGTTGCCTTGACAACTATGGGTGGATTTCCCTTTGTAATACCATGAAGTCTAATGAACATTTTCTCCTAGTACCTCCAAGAATTTTTATTCTTATTTTCCTATAAAGTGAAAAAGCAAGAGAGAGTGAGAGAGTAAAATATTTCTAAGAATGTCAGCATGTATTTGATTGGTTTCAAAGAGTAGGTGGAGACCACAAAAGAATAACGATTCCAAAAAGTTTCTTTCAAGTAATGGTTATTTTCATGCATGTATGCATGCATGTATGTATGTATGTACTTACAAAGAAAAAGAGTGCCAAGAAAGGGGTGGGTGAGGCCCACTAACAATTAACTTTTTTCTTGCCAACAAAGATAATTTATTATCAGTTACTGATAAAAAAATGTTTCATTAATGCCATGAAGTGATGACTAGTCATTTGGGCCTCCCTAGTTGCTGCTTTGACTATTTGGTGCCTAGGCACTGACTAGTCAACCACAAAAATGTATGTTCCAAATATTAGATATTGATGCAATCTCACATATAAATTAAATATAGAATGAAAATATGCAATAAAAGAATGATAATAGAGCATCTAGTCAGTGATTTTTCTTTTTTTAGTAAAAAATAGAAAAGGAAATTTATTAAAAAAGAAATGGGAAAAACAACAAAGTACAAAACAAAGACCAAAGCCTCCATGACCCAAAATATAAAACAATGACCAACCTTGCTTGCAAAACCCACTCCCCTTGAAATAACCCAAAAAAATATATAGAAAACTTAAATGATCTCCACTTTCTTTTAATGTTTGCATTATTTCTTTTTATATACTATCAACTAATGATGCACCATTACAAATTCTTAAACTCTAAAGAAACTAGCATGAAAATCAAAATAAAAGCACATATGATACTATTTTAAATAATTGCAGGTAAATACAAACAAGTCTTAAAATAACTTTGTAGTAGGATAGGTCAACCTAGTTTATGCCTAGTTGTCCCAAGTAACCTCATTGTGACTATCAACTGACTCTTAGTGGGTCAGTATGGCCCTCAATAGACTAGTCAGTTGACAAGTCTTAAAATACAAACACTGTTTTTTTTTTTTTGAAGTAATAGAAGATTTTATTAATAAGGGAAAATCTCTTAAAGTACCCCCAAAGTTTTAGGAAGTTTACTTACTCTACCCCTACTGCTTAGAAACTGTCTTAAGGTATCCCCAAGATTTCTGACAATTGACTAAATCCTCCCCTGTTGTTAATGCCCATTAACAGAAAGATTGAAAAGACTATTTACCCATCATTCTTTAAATTTTAAGAATGCAACATTTGAATAAGGGTGCAATATTTGAACAATCCAAGTATCATTTGCTTACGGCTTCTCATAAAACTAGTTGTGTCTCTGGTCAAGACATTTCTTATTCCACATCTTCTTCTTCTTCTTCTTCAGCCCCTATATTTTTTGAATTATCTTTCCTTTCTTCTTTTTCTTCTCATAAATATGTTGATTTTCTAGACTTAAACATAAAGTTTATAATTTTCTTATGAAAATTATGGATAGTTATTAAAGAAAGTTGGTTATGGCACCTAGGGAACTACCCTAGGATATGTGATTTTTACTTAAAAAAAAATCCATCGCCTAGGCGACAAGGTGCCCCCCTGTCGCCTAGTCTCAACTTGGTGCCTTGAAAACTATGGTCACATGTAAATGGGGGATACTTTAAGGGGAGGATTAAGTCAATTGTCAGAAAACTTAGGGGGTATCTAAACAGTAGGAGTAGAATAAGTCAATTTCCTAAAACTTAGGGGTACTTTAAGAGATTTGCCCTATTAATAATTCATAAGAAACATCTTATACAATGAGCTTCCCACAAACATGCGTGAGATGCAGCCTCAAAAATAGCAACATATTACAATTGAGCCCAAAATAGATGATCCCTATGCACCCCTTGCTTAGAGCTAAACAGTCAGCTAATCCATTATCTGATCTCCCTTCCCACTGAATTCTTATTGTTCAGATCCCTTAGTCACCCAATTATCAGCTTCAAGTCCCCCCTCAATTAGAAATCTATCAATTTTGATTTCTCTAGCAAACTGTGCCCCCTGCAGAACAGCTTGAAACTCAGCTTGGATAGAGTCCCCTTCACCTACAGGACCTGAGAATAAAGCAAATATACTACCATGTGCAATTCTGAAAACACCCTCTATTCCTGAAAGTCCTGGATTCTCCAAGCTGCTACCATTTTTTTTTATTGGAAACAGTTAACTTTCATTGAGGATATCAAATAAACATCTTATACTGCACTCAGACAAAGAATGTTGACCCCAAACAACATCAAGAATTACAGTACAGCCCAAAAAACAAAAGTTTTCCCTGAACGTCCCCTGCTTTGCCAAGCTATCTGCCACAGAGTTGGCTGATCTCCTTACCCATTTGAATATTACTCCAGATTACCTTGCCAAGCAGATTATTTCCCCTATTTTCAGTCTAAAATTCCATACACCCAACTTCTTTGTTTGCAGCCACCCTATTAATAATTTAGAGTCCCCTTCCACCTCCAAGTTCTGAAATCCCCATTGCTTGGCAAATCTCAAGCTTTGTAGGAGAGCCAAAATTTCAGCTCTCAAAGAGTCTCCCACTCCTATGGACCAAAGTATAGTGCCACCATTCTACCCTCCCCATCCCTGAAGACTCCCCCAGCTCCTGAGGGTCCTGGATTACCAATGGAGCATCCATCAAAGTTTAATTTTACCCTTTGTTCTGCTGCAGGTGTCCAAGAAGGCTGAAAGACAGCTTGACTGGTTGAAGAGTTTGCCACTGCTGACCAACCCATTTGTATATCATCCACAAAAAAGTTTTTAAATAAGTCACTTAATTTCAGCCAATGTATGACTTTAATGGCTACGCAGTCCATGATTTGTTCTATTGATCTTTGTGCCCCTTGGAATATTCTGTTATTCCTTTCTTCCCATAAAGAACAAACAATGGCTGCTCTTGTTGCCCTCCACATCAATTTTCCCCTTTTCTTTGGTAGTAGGAAGAAACTTGGGTTGAAAAGACTTGTCACATCCGAGGGAGGGGTCCACCTACAGCCAAATAAGGAAGAAAACCAACTCCACACACAAGAAGCAAAGGAACAAGAAAGTAAAAGATGTGTTACTGTCTCACCATTTCCCAAATAGAGGCAACAAACATGAGGATTGAAGGAAAGGGGCCTCCTGGGTGCAAGGATTGAAGGAGGGCGAAGAAGAAAGAGGCACAGGTAAAGGAGCCATAAAGGGACTCTGACCAAATCCAACTGTCCTGACAAGAGAGGTCTAGGAATGCAATATTAAGAAGGGAGATAAGATCACCAACTAAGCTCATTTCAAATTCCCTTAACCCTCTCCTTAATCCTAGATCCCAAGAGTTTTCATTAACAAGCACTGAAAAAATCACTCTCCCTTTGTTGAGGGACAAAGAATAGATAGGTGGAAATCTGTCTTTGAGAGGAGTGTCCCCAAGCCAGACATCCTCCCAGAAACATACTATATTACCTTTTAGAGTTGGCCGAGTAGGGGTAACTTAAGTCTTTTTCATTTTACTTTAAGTGATGCTTGGAAATACTGTTTTATTTTAAATTTCTTGTCCCATACTTAAGTAGGGGCATATTTGACTTTGTACCATTAATGAATATAATAAAAGGTTATGGTCGACTAGGAGGGTTTAGACTCTCTTGTTCGACAGATTTCTGCTTTCTCTCTATCTCTGAACAGAACTTGTCTGAACCATCAAAACATGGTATCAGAGCGATAAATACAAAAAAGGAAGGCTGTGATCTCAAAGTTTCTGGACCTGCGATCTCTCTTCTTATTTTCTCCTTTTTTTTCTGGGCTACGATCTGGGTTACACCAAGTAGAAGGCTGTGGCAACCCTTTTGGTGATTACAGGACCAATGCAATCTTCATTACAGGTGATAGGAAGGTGCGGCAGCCCTAGGTTGGTGATTCTAAGATTGCTGTCACCATGAGTGACAGCCCTAGTGTTTGTGCAGTCGTGTATATGGTGGTTCAGACCCTCTACTAAGCAGTTTCAAGAGGGTTTTCTTCCTTGTTTGTTGCAGTTATGGTGGTTGGCTATCAATAGTGGTGTGAGGAATTTTTTTTGAAGGAGATGGTTGAATGGGTCTGAATGTCTGAATGGTGATAGTTATTTTTAGGGTGGCTAGTTGAAAGAGTGCCGTGAGGTGATGTGTAGACTGCAGTAGTGTTGACTTAACAGCAGAAATATTTTTCTTTGGTTGGTTGATAATTCAGAAGTAGGAAGAGCAATTGATAGTTACCAGTATTGAGAACACCATGGCAGCAACCGGAGATGGTGGTAGTGATCAGAAATCTAGTGTGATGATCCCCCTCAGACTATTAAGGTGTGCAGATGACATCAATTATACTTAATGGTGAAAATTATGTGCCATGGGCCAAGTCGGTGGAGGTTTTTCTCAAGACCAAGAGGAAGGTGAAACATGTGAAGGAGGATAAACCATCAGCTAAATCTCCAGGGTTTGATGAATGGGAAGAAGAGGATGCCCAAATCATGACATGGTTATGGGACAATATCAAACTCAAGATAAGTGCAAACTTTATGTTCTTAGATACAACCAAGGAAATATGGGAACATGCAAAGAAACTTTATTCTGGACAGGACAATACTACGAGAGTATATCAGCTCTATCAGTAGTACTTTAATTTACAACAAGGAAATCAAACCCTTGAAGATTATTATGCTAGTATGAGGAACCTCAGAAATAAACTTAATGTCTATCACCCCCTCACTTCAAATGTCAAAATTCAGCAACAATAGGAGCAACTTAATGTAACCAGCTTTTTAGTAGGGCTGAATATTGGGAGGTTCTGCTCTTCCTACACTTGAGGAAGTATTTTCTCGGCTCCGTAAGATTTCCCTAGGACCCATTGAGAGTACCACAACTTCTAACAGATCAGTGTTTTTTGTGGTGAGAGGATGTGGATGTGGAAATAGAGGGGGAGGACATGCATTTCGAGGAGGTCATGGTAGTGGAAATTGTGGAGGTCGTGACTCAAGGGAGGCCATGGCAGAGGAAGAGGGCACACTACTAGGAGGTGCACACATTGTGGCAGGGAAGGACATTCAATTAATTTATGTTATGATCTACATGGCCCACCTTCCACATGGGCTACATCTACATTTGCTTCCAGGAAGAAGATGATGAGTGTACCATGAGATGAGTATGAGAGGTAAGCATGTCATTGGTTGTAGGTTGTAAATGGGTGTATACTATTAAATATACACCCAGGTGGGAGCTCACCACTCTTCTACATTTACATTTTTTGTTGTTCAACACAATCACACGTGGGAGCTTACCACTCTTCTTCCAGGTAAGCATGTTGTAGGTTGTAAATGGGTGTATACTATTAAATATTTACTAGATAGTAGTGTGGAACGGTTTAAAGCCCGATGGTTGCTAAGGGTTACTCTCAATTGTAAGGGGTGGATTATATGGAGACATTCTCTCTTGTTGCTAAGATTGATTCAGTTCGTGTCTTTATTTCCTTAGAAGTTATGTATGATTGGCCTTTGTTTCAACTTGACATTAAAAATGCCTTCCTCTATGGTGATCTTTTGGAGGAGATCTACATGTACAAGCCAGGAGGAAGTCTTGAGATAGTCAAGTATACAGATGCAGATTGGGTAGGCTTGATGTCTGGCAGGAGATCCACTACAGGGTATTGCACATTTCTTGGAGGAAATCTGGTGACATGGAAAAGTAAGAAGCAAACTGTTGTGGCGAGTAGTGCTGAAGCTAACCACAGGGCCATGGCACATACCACAGGTGAACTAGTATGGTTGAAAATTCTTCTTAAAGAAGTTGAATTCTCAATGAGCAAACCGATGAGATTGTACTGTGATAACCAAGCTACAATCCACATCTCATCTAATCCAGTCTTTCAATGAGCAAACCGATGCCAACTCACCCATGAATACTTTCCACCACTTCATGCCAAAGTCTCTCCCTCTCTAGTAGACACCTCCATAGCCACTTACCCAGCAAAGCTGTATTCTTTTTTCCTAAGTTACCTATTCCAAATCCCCCCTACTCCATACTCTTGCAAACAACTTCCCATTTAACCAAGTGATCCTTCCTTCCCTAGGCTCCCACAAGAAATTCCTCATGATTTTCCCTACCTTCAACACCTCCCTTTGTGGCACTAACAAAGAAAAACCATTTCATTGGGTCCCATTTACATAAGGCAAGAGAACACTTTGGTTAGCCAGAAAAACTAAACAGGGTTTCCCATTTTGGAGGAACTAACATCATCCCTACAGCTAATTAGTAACCCAATCCACAGTCCTCACCCATCCATTCATCCCAACGTAATGATAAGAAGAGCTACAAAGAATGGAGCATGGTTCAAAGTATCAATACACCTCTCTATGTATCGATACCTTCAACGATACTCCCCCCATCCCCCCATTGTTTTTTTTCTGTTTTAAGTTTCAATTCTATATATATATATATATATATATATATTATTTTAAAAAAATGGGCCCCCGCAAACAATTGTAAATTTCAATTAATTTTGATATGATACAAGGCGTATCATATCAAAATTTTGATTGAGGCCCATCCCTTTCAAATAGCTTTATCTCCATCCTTTAAAAAAAGGCATTATTGAAGAAAATTTCAATTAATTATTAGGGGAAACGAATATCTGATAGAACCACAAACGTTAGAAAAATAAGGGGAAACAAGAAATAAAGAGACAAATAATTAAAATGGACCTGTAACATGTCAATAGCTTATGGATAATAATAATAATAATAGAAGTAGTAGAGAGGAAAATTGTGATCAAAACTATGATATTATCTAAATAATAATAGAAGCTCCAAAGCAAAATGATGATGGATAATAAAACCAACATTAGGCCAGGAAGAATTTGATGTCATAGAAGCTTCTATTGCTATAAATTAGCTATCTCTTGCATTCAGCATGAACCTCTCTGATAAAGTTCATGATAAAAAAGAAATTATGGATAGCAAGAGATAGAAAGCCTAGAAAAGATGAAAAAAAGAAACAAAAATGAATTACAACTACTAGGGATGCATCTAAGAATGGCTGGACTGGGTTGCAGTCAACCGTAGCCTAACCAGATGTGTTGAACCACCCAACCATAAACCTAATTCGATCCGATCTTCAATTGGATATATACAACCCTAATCCAACTTAGTTATTTAAGGAACAGAAAAATAGTAACTAGAAACATCCTAACCATCACAATTTCACAACTTCAAGGTTGTTACATCAGGGTATTTTTTAATATAAAATTATGATTTATGTAGCTGACCCCATATAGTTGGGACAAGGCATAGATAATGATGATGAAGATGATGATGATAATGATGATGAGGTAGGTAGATTCTAGATTGAATTAAAACCATCAATTGTGAGCTGTTCTCACGTCAAACAATGAAAGAAATATTTTGGAGCAGAGTGTAGTTCAATTTTTATTTAAATGCACAAGTAAATCTTTGGCCTCTGATGACTTAAGTTCAATATTTTAAATCTGAAAGGATCCACCGTGATGAGGGTGCTTATAGGTGAGTTACGGACTTACGGTAGAAGACTGCTCTCCTCTCCTATGTAGGACTATTGGACATCATCCTCACTCTCTCACCATAACTGTATCCCTACTCTCTCTTGATGGTAAATGCATCCCTTTCTCTAGCTTGTACTCATAATTCTCTAGCCCACCTTACATTGCAATTTTATGATTTGCATTCCCCCCTTCTCCTCCTAACACAAACACAAAGCAGAAACTGAACACATATAAAAAAGTTACCAAGAAAATAGCCACCACAACCTACATCAAAATACTAATTACTGATTACTAATAAATATGGGTTCAGGTTATTAATAAAACTTTTATTCATTGTTGTAGATATTATATATGTACATATAGATAGATAGATAGATAGATACAAGTCCTTGTGGTGTTGCCCAGTGCACCAACCCATAACACAACCTCATCTTAAATCAGGTTCTTTCAAGTTCAACTCAGCCCAACCAGATTCTGGCCCAACCTAATTCACTCTTACTTTAAACAGATAAAAAAGAAAGGAGCATAAATATATGATGCTACATTATCATGTTGGTAGATATAACTCGAAACAAAATTCAACCTTGCGATGTCATCACCAATCTCTGGAGTAATGCTGATGCTTCGCCTTCTTATTCTACGAGTCTCAGATATTGATCCACCATCTGACCTATATAATGACATTTTAATAGAAGTTAAAATAATTTATTACTACATTTCAACACATAATGCCTTGGAAAAAAATAGATTCAAAAGAATGAACATAGACTGGGATTCAATAAATGAAAACAAATCACTGCTAAAAACAAGATTATACAATTGAAAGGAAACAAATGAATATGGTAAATAGAATTAACTGACATAACACTGGTCTCAACTATTTGGGGTCTTGGGAAGGGTGGACAGGATACAGACCAAAAAAAGGCATTATTATTGCACAAAATGACCACTCTCACTCTAATACACAATTCCCACTATTTATCTGAAGATTTTAATGCAAAGAAATGGCCCCTATTTGAGTGAAAGGAAAGGGGGCTGGAACAACAAGGTCACTAGGGCTATGAGAAGTTTTAGGGAGTTTGTAAGGAAGAACAACTTGATTCAATACAGCAGTTTCGGATCCATTTACATTGGTCAAATGGTCAAGACCCACCTATTCCAAGGAGGCTTGATAGATTCCTTTGTAATGGGGAATGGAAGTTTTTCCAGATTTGGTTCACAAAACCCTAACTTCAGATAATTCAGATCATAAGCCTATCCTATAGAGAAAATTTAACAAATTAGATGGGCAGATGCTTTTCAGATTTGAAAACAAGTGGCTAAAATGATTGATCAAAGAACATGTGGCTAAAACACCCACTTTTTGCGGCTTTTGTTGAAGAGAAGTTGATAAGTTATCACTTTGAAGGAAGGTCGGGCTATACTCTAATGAAGAAGCTAATGGCTTTAATGGAGGACCTAAATAAAAGTAATAGGAAGGTATTTGGGCACATTTCAAATCAAAAAGCAAAACTTCTTAGAAAAATGGCAGATTTGGAGGGGTTAGAGGAAAGGTATGTGGCGACAGAAATCAAAGGCCTTATGGCTAAAGGAGGGAGGCAAGAATACATCCTTTTTTCATGCTTTGACTGGGACTAGGAGAAGAAGAAATTTCATTTTTAGGTTGGAGGAGAATAGAGTCATTGAAGACCTAAAAGAAGTGGATGAAATCAGGAATTTCTACATTAATTTGTATAAGGAAGCTCCAAACATAGAGGTATTCTTGGAAGTTAGAGCTTGGAAGATTTGGGGAGGGCTTAAGAGATTGGTTGGAGAGAGAATTTGATAAGGCAAAGGTGTGGGAAGCAGTAAGTAAATTGAAAGGTGATAAGGCTCCAGGTCCATATGGTTTTAATCTCTCTTTCTTCAAGAATTGCTGGCATGTACTAAAAGAGGACATAATGTGGGTGTTGGATGAATCCTGGCAGGAAAAGTTGATTGAGAAGGATGCAAATGCTATATTCATTTCACCAATTCCAAAAGTGGAGGGTGCTTCTAGAGTGAAAGACTTTAGACCAATCAGATTGATTTCAAGTCCTTACAAAATTATAACAAAGGTGCTGTCTCGAAGACTAAGATCAGTTTCGCATGAAATTGTGGGCCCAACCCAAATGGCTTTGGTGGAGGGTAGGCAAATTCTTGATGAGGTGATTATTGCAGGTGAATGTGTTGATTCAAGATTAAAAAACAGCCAAGAGGGATTGATCTGCAAGCTTGACATTGAGAAGGCTTATGACCATGTAGAGTGGAGTTTCATGGAAGAAATCATGGCTAGAATGGGCTTTGCGGAGAGGTGGAAAAGCTGGATGTTTGCTTGTATTTCCTCAGTTTCTTTCTCAGTCCTTGTTAATGAAATATCCACACCCTTCTTTCAAGCATCAAGGGGCCTAAGACAAGGAGACCCCCTGTCTCCTTTGTGTTTGTTTTGGTGGAGAAGTTCTTTTTTTTAGATAATGGTAATTTGTAGCAATTTTTTAAAACGCGGAGGCGTGACACGAGGCGTTCCACTACCTAGAGGCATGAGGCGTAATTCAAAACGCAAGAGCCGTAAGCCTCCCAAACACAAGGAGGAGTAAACCTTCTTAAGAGGAGGGGGGGTTAGGAGGAGGATGAAGTGGAAGGGGGGATCTCATTTTTTCTTTATTTTTAATAAAAATCTTTTATATTAAGAAGAATAAAGATGCATAGCAGTAGTTTAAAGGGGGCTCTTGTCGAAAGAAGGGGCAGGGGGCAAACCATTTTCTTTCCCCTTATCTTTTCTTCCCTTCCCTTTTCTTTTCTTTCCTTTTCTTTTTTTTTTCTTCTCTTTCTTTTCCTTTTCTTTCCCTTTCTTTTCTTTTCCTTTCCTTTCCTTTCCTGTCCTTTTCTTTCCCTTTCTTTTCCTTTCCTTTCCTTTCCTTTTCTTTCCCTTTCCTTTCCTTTCCTTTTCTTCTTTTTTCTTTTTTTTTCCTGTATTTTCATATCAGGTGTGCATGAGGCGCAAGATGCGTACGCCTCTAGCACGTCTCATGAAAAAAGTGCAAGAGGTGTACGCCTCAGAGGTATCAGCGCCTCTGGCATACGCCTTAGGGTGTTTTGGAACCGCCTCACCTGGAGGTGTGCCTCCAGGCGTACGCCTCCCACTCCTTTTAAAACACTGATTTGTAGTAATTAAAGAATCATAGGATACATCTAACAAACTCCCCACAAAGAGGTTTGAGGTACAGCCTCTAAACTATATCATAAAGCTTACAAGTGAGCCCAAAAGAGATGATTCCTATGTACCCCTTGTTTGGCTAGAAACTCTGCCAACCCATTTGCCAATCTTCTTTCCCACTGAACTGTGACTGAGATATTTGATGTCAACCACTTAAATCTTCTAACGCCCCCTATAGAACCAGGCTGCAATCTCCAGCTCTCTTAGTTATGGGCCTTATTAGCCTTCTTTTATTTTCTTTAATTATCTCTTTAGTGCCGACTGCCCCATTAAGGGCATCCAAATAATTGTACTCAGACTTAGAATTATTAATAAAAGTGATGAAAGGGGGCTAGAGAGAGAGGTTCGATTTCTTCTTTTCTCTCTTCCCTTTTCTTCTTCCACAACCTATTGCTGAAACTTCTTTTCTTCTCTTTTTCTCTCTCTTTTCTTCTTTTCTTGCATTATCTGAATTGCTATAGGTGTAGTTTTCAACTTGGAACCAGAGCAGGTTCTCACTTTCGACTTTTCTCTCCTTTCTTTGCCCATACATAGTGTGTGTGGAGAACTGATCGGTTAACCAATCAGCTACTTATGCAGCCCAGTTAGGAAGGTTTTTGGAGAGTTTTGTGGAGGTTTTTCATCCTTAGTTCAGGGCAGGTTCTTGGGGATTTTTCCCAAAAACCCGAGATAATTGGAGAAGCCTTGTTATAGGTCATAGAGACAGTTTGAACCAGGCACTTGGGGATCGGAGGTAAGACTTTTGTTTTCTATTAGGGGTGGTTTTGGTTGGAATAAATTCTGGAACCTCTGGAAGGGCTGGTTGAAGTTTCTCTCTTTCTCCCCATCCCGCAGAACCATGTGAAACCCTAATTTTGGGGGGTTGAGAGGTTGTTCTTTGCTAAGAACAATAAATCTATCCTAGTAAAGCCCCAATTTGATTTTGGGGAGCTATGACTACTATGAAGCTAGATGGGACCAATTATTTAGCTTGGTCTCAATCTATTAAGATATGTGCGTGTAGTAGAGGAAAATGGGGTTATATTATCGGGAGCAAGAAGAAACCAGAGGAGGAGGATCCTACCTATGAAAGGTGGATACAGGAAAACTACACAGTAGTGGGTTGGCTAGTGTATTCTATGCAACCACACATTAGTTAGCATTACCTATGGATGGAAACTGCAAAAGAAGTGTGGGGTAGTGTCACAAAGACCTATTCCAAAAAGCTTAATGTTGCTCGAGCCTACAAATTGAAGCATAATGTGAATAATCTAAGACAGGGGGAGAAGCCCTTAGCAGTCTACTTCTCTATGCTGAAATCTCTTTGGCAAGAGATTAATCTGATGGGGACTGTTGTTTGGGGTTGCACAAAGGATGCAGAAACAAATAGGAGGTTGTTGGAGAGAAATCGGGTCTTTGAATTCCTCACCAGACTCAACTCAAAGTATGACATTGTGAGGCAGAATATTTTAGCAAAGGATGAGGTGACTTTGTCTCAGTCATATGCTATGGTGAGCAAGTTGATCACTATGCTAATGCGGCGATGAAGCCTAAACACACTAAAGACGCATGTTGGAAGCTACATCCAGAGCTTGTTCCTACTAGATTCAAGAAAAAATGGTGGGAAAAGGGTTGAAACTAGAAAAGGTGGAAATGCAACACCTCTTCACAAGGTGAACAAGGACAAGGTGGAGAGAAGTTGGTGGGAGAATAGCTTACAACCGCCAGGGCTGAATATGATAAGTATGGTCAAATCATCAGTTACTTCGAGTCCATTGCTATAGCTCCTTCAAAGTTCCCTCCTCTACATATGCTCATTTAGGTATTCATGCCACTGCATATCATGCTTTTGTCTCAAGTACTCATAAAACCCTTTGGATAATTGATCCTAGTGCTTCTGACCATATGACCAATGTTTCACATTATTCACCTCTTACCAACTTCTTTCTGGCCGAGATAAGATATCTCTTGCTAATGGCTCCCTAGCCCCTATCATAATGCCCTGACCTTATCATTTGTTCTTCATGTACCTAAAATTAATACCAATTTGCTTTCAGTTAGTAATTTGACAAAATCCCTGAATTGCAGTGTGACCTTTTTTCCTTTATATTGTGTTTTTCAGGACATGGAATCTCAGAAGGTAATGGGAGTGGCCATGAGGCGAATGGGATCTATCTGTTAGACATGTCTGAGCAGAGCCAAGTACAACCTAAGAGAACTGCATTTGTTTCGGAGTCCACTAGTCGTATTATGTTATGTCATAGTCGTTTGGGTCATTTGTCCTTTCTTCATTGAGTTAGTTGTTTTCAAAGTTATTTAAAGGAATTAGTCTATCGAGTCTTCATTGTGAGCCTTGTGAGTTCTCAAGGTATTGTAAGAGCAGTAATCCTTCAAGTAATAAAAGATCAACTATTCCTTTTAACATTGTTCACTCTGATGTGTGGGGGCCTTACAAT